CTGCCCCACTTATAGGCAGGGGCTGGCCAGATGGAGGGTGGGATGGCGACCTCCCAGAGGTGAGACTTGAGTTGTCTCAGGGTGAGCAGAAGCCAGGCTCCAGCTGGGAGTGTCCAGCCAGGTCTTGGATGGGCCAAACTTTGCATAAACAAAGCCGTGTGGGCAGTGAAGGATGGGGACAGGGGATGGGGCAGGAGGACTTGTCCTAGAAAGGTCCCCCCCGCCCCTCCCCATGCTGGTCTGGGCTGAGCTGCCAGAGGTCAAACTCAAGTTCCTCCCTCCTAAGCCACTGTCCCTGAGAGGTGGGTTTCTGGTCCTCCCTTTACCTTCCCTCACCCCCCACCAGGGCTCCCTAGTTTGGTGGTGGGGAGCCCATAGTTCCAGGGCCCCAGTGCCTGCCCCTTAGGCAGCCAATGATTATGTTGGGGTCAAGCCAGGACTCCCCAGACCGATCCTGCCCCCCATCCCACTGGTCTCCCACCTAGTTTCTGCCCTGGCTTGGTCTGGGGTGAAGTAGGTAGAGAGGGAAGGTGGGGGGGAAGAAGGTGAGAGGAAAGGGGAGGGAGGTAGAGGAGGGGAAGGGGGGGAAGGAGGGGAGGGGAGGAGGAGCTCAGGGAAGGAAGGGGTGGGGGGAGGGGAAAGCGTTCTTTGGAAAGAGCCTCCCTGGCTCACTGTGAGGGGCCGTTCCTCTTCCCCACCTGCAGGCGGGGCTCTTTGTCTGGGCTGGGGCCCATTGTGTGGGGAAGGGAGCCTCATTGGCAAGGCATTAATTTGTGATTGTCTGCTCTTTGCTCTGATTGGCTGGGTGAGCAGGGGCTCTCCAGGGCCCTAGGACACAGAAGTTTGTGCAGCAACTTTCCCCAGCATGAAGTGACCGAGTGTCCAGGCTTCAGCGCGGAGATTTACCTGTTCAGCCAGGATGGCGCTCTGCGGGACCTTCCTGGGTGCGTACCTCCCCCCAGCCGCGGGCACCCCTCCCTGGCCTGTTCACAGGTTTCCGCCAAGACGCCCAAGGGGCTAATTAGCTGTGTGTCCCGTCAGCACTCAGCGCTCTTCTCTGGGAAGCAGAGGAGGTCACAGAAGGGCTCCTCCTGAAAGAGGCCAGGCCCGTGGACTCCAGCCTGCCCTCCCTCAGCTGACGGGGAGCTGGCAGCACCTGTCCTTGGGCTGGCGCGGGAGGTTGAAGGTGGGGGGCAGCAAGGGAGGGTGTGGGTGCAGCAGGTTCCCAGGCTCTGAGAGGAGGTAGGGTGGGAGCAGGTCTCTGTGTGTGAGTGGAACAGGGGGGCTGTGGCTGGGGCAGCTGCTTGTGTTCCCGTCACATGTAGAGTTCCTCTGTGTGTACCATTTAACACTGTGCTGGAGCAAGAGTTTGTGTGTGACCCCTACAAATCCTCGCAATTGTGTGTGTGTGTGAGGATATGTGTTCACTCAGTGTCAGAGGGTTGGTGTGTTTGATGTCTCAGTGTGAAACAGTCTCACAATCGGGCCCAGAGCGTGTGCGGGTGTGCGAGACGGCACACAGTCAGCCCTGGGTGTTGGTAAGAGTGGCTCTGGGTTTTGTTTGCTCCATCTGCCAGCGCCTGCCTGAGGCCGCACCCCCCTCGCCCTCAGCTGTTCATATACAATATTAATGCTGACCACCTCGGCTCCACACACAAGGGCCCTAATTGTCGTCTGCAGCTTTAGGGCGGTGCCCATCTGCAGAACGCTTTCAGAAAACACACACAAGAAAGCCTCACCCAGCTGGTCACGGAGAAGGTGGTGCCAATCACAGATGCAGAAAGTTTAGACCAAAATTACTTGAAACAGTTTTTATGAAGCAAATGGACAGATTCTTGGAGTATCTGTGCAGATTTGAACAAGGAATTACACGTATTTTACATGATCTTTCCAGCCAAGTGGTCATCACGCCTGTCTCCCCAGTGCGGCTGCAGTTACAGATTTGGTTTTGCAAAGCTCGCGCTGTCCCCGTGGAGTTTGGAGACCCTTCAGCCAAACAGAGGCTGTTTCCCTGTGGATGTTCCCGACCGTAACAGTCACAGGCGACTTCCCTATAAAGCTTAAAGGAAAGCAGTCCGCTCTGTGCTTAATTGTGGAAAAGAAAGCATCTTGTCATTAAAATGTCCGTGGTGTTTGTCACCCGGAAACAGAGTGTTTGATTGCACCTGGCGGCTGTCACTTCCAAGCAGGGCTGGCAGCCTTGGTGTGAAGGCTCCCGGCGAGTCCTCCTGAGCCGAGGCTGTGGGGAGAACAAAGGCCGCTCGAGGCGACGGCGCTGTCCAAAGTGCTGATCAGACCGAGGCACGTGGCCACCAGCCTCTCAGGCGAAGGGAAGCTGCCCGCACAGCCCTCCCCTGCTCCTCTCTTGTGACTCTCCCTTGTTCTCTAGATGAGTCAGCCCCAGATTTTGAACCTGTGCTCATTAAACCTGTTTCTTCTGAAACGGCCACAGGGCTTCTCTCCCAGTTCCTGGAACTGGCAGTGAGCACATTGGAAGTCTCCATTCCTAACAGAGCTGCACAGCGTGGAGATGAGTCAGTGGGGGATGCGTCAGTGGGGGACACATGAAATGCTGAGACTGAGGTTTGTGCTGATATAATTCCTGTTTCCTGAAGAAATAATTGTGCCACACCAGGTCTTCTTTGTACAACTTGATCTCTCCCTGTAGCTACCTGTTTGTTGTTGTTTCTAAGCGTGACTGTTACATATCTGAATTAGTGCTTTTGTGAGACAGTGGGCATTGTTGGGGAATCGGCTGACTCAGCACCGCACCCCCCCCCCCTGCAAACAATGGCGCTCAGGGCTGCCCGAGCCTGCAGCCTGCTGATAAGAGTTTAATAGGATTGCTGAATGCCAAAGACTCGGATGTAAAGTATCCCAGCACACACAGCCTGTCCAGAGGAGACAGGAAGTGGTTTCTCAGGAGAGCTCTCAACTGACTATGTCCTTCTTTCTCAACCTGTGGGTCGCGATCATCGGAAAACACATATAGCATATCAGATATTTACATTATGATTCATAACAGTAGCAAAATTACAGTTATGAAGTAGCAACGAAAATAATTTTATGGCTGAAACCGGTTTGGCTCAGTGGATAGAGCGTCGGCCTGTGGACTGAAGGGTCCCAGGTTCAATTCCGGTCAAGGGCATGTTCCTGGGTTGCGGGCATTTCCCCAGTGGGGGATGTGCAGGAAGCAGCTGATCAATGTTGTCTCTCATTGATGTTTC